CGTTTAAAACACTTCAGGTAAATTTGGAATACCAGACAAGGCATGATTAATATGATTCACTTTGATCCGGTCCTTGCTTTACCTTAGACAGCGCATAAATATGTGAATGCTCTATAATAGGTATCTCAACGAGTAAGTATATCAGTAGAGGCAAAATACGAGAGTCACTAGGAGCGATATACACTTTCTCAAATTCAGAATTACCTTAGCAGACTGTAGTTGCATGCCGTCTTGTCATAGATCCTTATACACATTAGAATCGCGAAAACATTGAGAAATAAACAGAATAAATAATAGCTTCAGAACTACGCATTATTCAAGAACATTTTGCCTATGAGGCTGATGCTACAAAGCATGTCAACAATTTCAATCAACTGATCGCCTTCAGTTGTCATTCTCAATTCAGAGGATTCAGAGGCAGAATGGTACATTTGTCTGGTGCCAAATCTGCCAAACTTCTGCCACTCATTTGGTATGAGCGCTGTTTTGCTATGTTCAGTGTACACCATATTTGTATCCGTTCCATATGGTCTTGGTCATCCTCTTGGTCTGGATACCAGAATCTAGCTTTTAAGACCATTTTTTCAGGCAGCCACTATTGTCATTCATTTATCTGCTTGCTTTGCACTCAGAAGTGCAGGGTTCATAACTGACTAGAGCACGACATAAATCTTTCTTATAAATTGTCATTTCCCCGGAGCACGGAACTTCCCTTACTGTACTTCAGTATAATTACACAAGAATCGAGTAGCTACTCTCGAAACTACGATTAATTGAAGAGTACATGGTTCTAGTGCAGTCATGCCAGAACTTGTAAGCGTTATGGTCGTACCGGCCTATGATTGCGCTTTGAATATGTTCGTCTTCAAACCCCTCGGTACGAACCAAATGAACAGCAAATGCATTTCTGTTATCATTTTCTGGTCAACGGGTAGCCGTCATCATAGATAGATGCTAAGTAGATGGATATTATCTGACGCCATAAGTCTGTATCGTATATGTGTGTGTATGTGTGGTGCAAATGATGTATAGCTGTGCCCTATGGACGGTATCTCACCGCAGAGCCATCGTGGTTTTCCTTTAGGTTTCCAGCTTTTGGTTTTCCTCTAGGTCAAACATCTTAATAGTATTTTCTCAACTAGTCTGCATCGCTGCCAATAGCGGGAGAAAATCTCGGTCTCCACTATTGTATAACTTTTCCAAGCGAGCGTTGAGCGTCGAATTACTTAATGGTTTCCAGATCTTTCCAGAATATTCGCATCAAATGCGTATCGTGGAAGCCTAAATGATTCTATTTTCTGTTTCTGTTGATTGTGAACGCTGGACTGTTTGGAAGAGATCCTTCATTCAAGATCGCCAAAGTGTCAATCATTCTGTGTTTCTTTCAAATGACTACCAATTAATCATGCTACGAAATGACAAAGTGACCAAGAGTCTAGAGATTAGCATCGTGAAGCGGCATGGGAACAAAACTCGAAACAGACTGAAAAATTTGAAGTTTCATGCCTAATCATTTATAACTTTCAAAATGAATGGTGTATCACAAATGCAGAGTCTGAGGTACAAATTCCTACTTCCTCATTGTGTCAGAAAGAAAATTCTCGCTTCTACCCAATTCTCGCATTTGCTCCGTTTCGTGTTTAACTCGAACTCATGATCTACAGAGGCGTCAGTGTCACGCTATGCCTCAAAGCTGGAATATCATCGAAGCGCGAAGCGAAACCAAACCGGATACCGCGTTTGACATGCCGTCGGTCGCATCTCGTTTCGATCCTTCTCGGTTGACCGCGTCTACTGAACATGATACGCAGGTAGAAAGTGAACCCATATGAAACTGTACTACGCCACCACGTTTGGTTTACGGTAGACAAACACCGTCGTGATCGCGATTGAAAGCATCAACACGTTTTCGCTGACCAATCGAACTGTGTTGTGTCCCAGCTCAGCGGTCAGATACCGATTTTTTCTGATGAACGAGCTGACCAGCACAGGTCTCGATTGACCAACAGAAAGCTACTCCTTGATCCCAGAAACGTTGAAAACCATCCATGTGCAAACACCGCATTTCATGGTGAAGAACCTTCACTCTGTTTTCCTTACTATCCTGTCTTTAGACCTCCTGTCGACACTGATTACTTGTGTCCACTAAAACCTCTGTTTATATTATTCTCATTAACGAGCTCAATGGTTCAAAGCCATTTTCTTTCAGATTATTCAAAGTTTGTATCAACTATACCACACCCCTTTATGTTTATTTTTCGTACGATTTAGTCCCGTATTTTTAATCGCAGTCTGAGCCAGCCTCTCGAATCCAATCGAATTCGGTTGCACACCTGTGGATCGTTAAAACAGACATATCCAAGCGACGGTGGGGCAATGCTGTGTGACCATAAAACAGAAAGTTCATTCGCAGCATACAAGCAGAAACTTTGCCTAAGTGAACCTCAGGTTGAGGAATATCAGAGAAGCTCTGCTCAGCTAGGACAACAGATGTTTGAAGACGGACAACGGCGTGGATCGGGGCAAAATCTAGACATTGGCTAATAATAAAAGGCCATCAATGTCAATTCGTGGTTCCGAATTTGGCCTAACCAGTACGACCTTCATTGGATCTATTTTGACCAACGTATCTTGGCAGCAAATTCAGTATGGATCGCATCCTCGGTAATTCGTAATTTTTAAT